AAACAGTGTGCGCTTTGGCGTGACATCGGAAGGTACCGAGTAGTAGGCAAAGCTGAGTCGCCTACAGCGATTACTACGCGAGTTTAAAGACCCAACTTGGGCCCATTGGATCCACGAGTTAAGGGTTAAGACCTATGCGACTTCTTCCTGGCCAAGGCCTACAAAGTAAGGATGAAAACTAATTATTATCCACTTCTCTAAACGTTTAAATCTACCTACTAATGATGAATTCATACAGCCAACTGCTCAGTGTTCATAGTTGCAAGAATTGAAAATATCTACCTGCAGCACTTACTTAAAAAAAAGGAAAATGGCATTAACATTTAAACTAAAGTGTTTTGTATTATCGAGTTCTATGGTTTTCGCGATTGTTACACATAGGAAATGAAACTATTTTTCCGGATTTAAATTAACTGGTTGAAGACTGTACCACCTTAGTCAACCGTGACCATGGGACCTGTAAAGGGCCCGAAACGTCGGTTTGTTTGAAAAAACAAATATACGCGATTTAAATCCGGAAAAATAGTTTCATTTCCTATATTTTGTATTATTTAGCTTTTTGTCTTTTTTGTATTTTAGTCAAGCAAACACATCATCAGAAGTTACTATTTACTATTAATGTAGGTACCTGGAAAAACAATAACATTTTCTTTTAGCAATTGTCTTAACACGTCAAATATTTATTACTTAATTAATATTTTCTTGCTTTTTCTATTAACTATACACCTTCCTCTCTTTAGTCTTTTATTATTTCCTCACATTGTTTGAGAAAAAAAAAATCTATACGTGGCTCGACGGGAACGGGGATTGCTTGACTCGTATTAATACAAGGCTTCGCTGGCGCTCACCCTTGTATCTCATACTCATTCTTAAACCACAACCGCAACCCCTTACTTCCCGGCCTCTCCAATAATGTACTATAAATGCATGCTGTTCATTATGATTTATGCATACATATTATTAACAGCAGGTTACACTTTTATTGTTTGTTTTATTCCGCAGTTTCCGTCCTCGTTCGTATTTATCCACAATAAGGCATAACTACAAAATTTAGTTTAGTTGAAAAGATTCTTTTAATATTAACATCTGTTTGTGTCGGCTTCGGGAGAACTGTTGGGTTAAGTTTTGAGTGCCTTTAGGCCTATTACTTACTAAAGCTGTTAAGTCACGTCAACCAAATACCATTGTACCTATTTAGTTATTTTGACATCTGAACGTATTTTGCTCCGCTTTGCTAGATAATGGGCATAATGTCAGCCTCGTTGCCGTTTTGAGCAACATGGGCGGGGTGGAGAGTAAGAGCGGAGACCTTTCTCGTTACTTTTTTATTCTCAGGTAGTTCCAGTTCCGTCATAACTTCATACACCATGATCTTAAGTGACTTGTTTTGTGTCTACTACATTTTACCTGTTCATATCCAGTACGTACCCTTAACTTTGAATCAATAAATAAAATAAATATTAAATAACATCACATACGTTGATTTGATCCCAAAGTAAGTACCTAGCAAAAATCGGAAACAACGACGATACCACAAACACCCAGACCCGGAACAATGTAGAAAAGTTAATTTTTTTTATAACATCAAGTGACAAGACGAAAAAAATCATGTGTCTGGGGTAAGCTACATACCTGTCCATAACAGTTGCATTACCGTTCAGAACTTTAAATCGCAAAGATCTGAGGGACACTTCCGCTACGCCTGTCACTTTGACCACTAAGTTGTAAAATCCCATGTGCTTGTAATTTCACCAGCACCGGAAAACCGGAACACAGTAATGCTCACATTATTGTTTGGCGACAGAAATAGGTGAGGTGGCAGTACCTCTTTGGACGAACTCTTTCACAAGAAGCAAAGCTACATTGACCCGGCCAGGAACTAGGGATCTCATAGATCACTAGTTCGATAGAGAACTGCCTCCGTGGCCGAACGGTTACCACGCCGGACTGCCACGCAGAGGTCCTGGGTTCGATTCCCGGGCCGGGAGAAATATTTGTATGACATATTTATTTTTCTCGAGAGTTTGGGTGTAATTTGTCGTTGTCCATGTGTGTGTCTATGGCGCCCGCGACACAGGAATTCCTTTTATTATTATAGATAGACACCATGAAAACCGGTATGCAAACCACTCGGCCAATAAATCGGCTTTTACGGTCGAGGTCATGGGGTCTGCAAAAGGTCCGAAACGTTGGTTTGTTTGAAATAACAAATATACGTGATTCAGAACGGAAAAAGTAGTTTCATATCCTATTTGTAACAATCGCGAAAACCTAAGAACTCGATCCGAGACTTATTATCACACAAACCAAAAAGGCAATAAAAAAACCTCTTGACACCGTAGTTAACATATGTAAACGTCAAGCTGAAGCGAGAGGAAATAAACGGTATCTATTCTGTTTAACGATTATTCGAGAAAGAATCGTTATCGACTAACGTAAATCGCGTGAAACGGTCCCAATTCAGGGCTGTGTTTTTGCTTTTTTGAATTCTAACTACAAAATATATAATGCTATGAAAATAGATACGTCTGTAATACCACACGATCCTATTTTTTTTTCTTGCTCGCTAACTTGTTACGTATGCTGCCCTTCTTGTCATAACTAACGCATTTGGATTTTATAACTTTCAAGATAGTGGCGCTCAAAGTTTTTTCTTTGAAAAATTTGTGTTACGCTGATTTTGCTTAAAACTTAAAGTCAAAGTCAAAGTATTTATTGCTTTCATGTGTTAAATAATGCCCTTAAAATTAAAATAGTGTCAACATGACCCTATTAGGGCACCGCAATTAAAAAATATACATTAATGAAAATTAAAAAAATAAAAGAAGATATTATAAAGTAATTTTAAACAAACCCAATAAACCTTTGGTTTTGGTTTGTTTGAAAAAACAAATATACGCGATTTAAATCCGGAAAAATAGTTTCATTTCCTATGTGTAACAATCGCGAAAACCTAAGAACTCGATAAAAGCCAATAAATTAAAATAATAATAATGATAACATTAGTGTAACGTAATGTAATATACTTTTAATGCAGAATATTACAAAAATCTTTGGTAAATTGGTACTCATTCTTCAAAAAACTGCTTCAGGCAGTAGTAATATTTTTCTATCAAATGAGCCTTTAGTTGTTTGGGCATAAATTATATTGAGTCTGGGATGATAATATTCTAAGGAATTCACAGCCATTACATAAGGTACTACTAGATGGTACATTTATAATTTCGACCTAGGTAGACAATAAAAACAGCAATAAAACTGAAACTGAATAAGATGTAAAAATGTCTTCGATACTTCCTTTATTTTTATTATTTTTACTATTTTTATTATATCAAGTGACGGGACGAACAAATCGTGCACCTGATGGTAAGCTACACGCCTGTTCATAATAGTTGCATTGCCACTCAGAGCCCTCATAAGGGGCATTTGCCATTTAAAGCTCTGAGTGGCCACCCCTGTCACCCTGGGACATAAGTTGACAAGTCCCATGTGCCTGTAATTTCACCAAAATTACCTCTGAGTCCCCGAATAAATTTTCTATATACTCTCCCTCCATGATGTTTATGAAACTAGCGTGAAATGGACACTGACAGAATTGAGACAACTAAGTAGACTCACAAGCCATTCATTAAGAAAAAAAAAGATACAAAAAACCGTTATTAGGAGGTTGTAGATATCGTTCGTTGATTCCAAATAGGTTAATACTTTAATTAGATTAAGTTAAATTTAAAGGTAAACAAAAAAATGCATTTTTTAATCTTAACTAATTTAATTTCGATAAAAATATCTTTGACTTTAGTTATGATTATGCTTCACGTAAGATGGTAATTTCGGGCTCTAGGGACTATTATTTGTAGTTGAAGTATTCTTTTTTATTTAATAAATATCATTAACCATTAGCCAAACTGCTTGATTTTTTTTTTAAATATTAGACAACAACACATACGTTGCTCTGATCCCAAAGTAACCAAACTTTTAACTGCCTCTGTGGCCGAACGGTTACCGTCTCGGGTTTGATTCCCGGGCCGGGAGAAATATTTGTATGGCCTACATTCATCACTCTCGTGAGTTTGGGTGTAATTTGTGGTTGTCTATTTATGGGTCTATGGCACTCGCGATACAGGGTTTCCCTAGTGTGTGTGCGTTTAAAAGAAGTATGTGTAACTAAAGTACACTTCACAAGTGGCAATTGAAAACAACGGGTAATCTATCGGAAACTCGATTTTTTTCCGAAATAAAGTTTGTTCGAATTTTCATTACGCCGAAAACCGAATTATAACAAAACCGTTGTTCTTTCAGGATATGTCGGATGTTTATCGCGAAGACACGATTAGGTTCTGTTTGGTTAGGTTAAGTTAGGTTTAAAAGAAAAAACATTTACCTCTCAAAATTACTTTCGAGTTTATGAAAATTCGAGCAAACGTTTTTTCTGGAAAATGTCATTTCGGACTACCGATAGGTAACCAAAACAAAGACGGTACCACAAACACCCAGACCCGAGACAATATAGAAAAGTTAACTTTCTACATTAACCCGATCGGGGATCCAAACCGGGACCTCAGAGATAGCGTTATCATGAAAACCGGTGTGCAAGCCGCTCGATCACAGAGGTCGTCTAAAATATCTTTAACATATCTTTAACTTTGTGTTCTGATACGAATATAATTTAAACTACAATGGCGTGAAAATAGTCCTTGGCACTTTTTATTTTATATGTATTGTTTGTATTCTTTGAAAAGCAAAGTCTTAATTTTGTCGTAAAACTCATAATAATCACGTTTAGTTTTTTGGTTTATTTCTACGAGCGAATTATAATCAATCATTATCTAGCAACAGTTTGTGTTCGCAGTACTCAATATTCTATCCACCCTTTCTGCCCTTGAAAGCGGCCAGTTACTTTTTTCGTGTTCCGTGCTGCGCCACGCCTCTCAGTATAAAAGGCAGTATCAACGATACGAGATCATTCAGTAGCCTTCGCGCAGTCTACACAGAATTGCACGATGAGAGTTCTGGTTAGTTAGTAATGAAATAGTACTTAATTGAAACCTGTTACAAGGTGAACTTTAGTGAAACTTGAGTGCTAATTAAACCGTTTCTCGCTAACTTGCGAGTTATTAAATGTTAACCATATATCAAGTGATGATTTTACGGTGCTAGTATCTCTACAGCTCATAACTAATGTAGTGGTTAGATTAATGTGTGCACGGAATTTGAAAGTTAAATATGTTCGCAGATAGTCGCCGCCGCCATCCTTGCCTGCGCCGCAGCCGCGCCCTCTGGTGCGCTGCTGGCCGCACCGTACGCCCACGGGCTAGCCTACGGCCACGCTGCGCCTCTGGCCCTAGCTCACGCCGTGCCTACCATCTCCTCTGGTGACATCCAGGGCGCCGCCATCGACGCGCACGTAGTAGCCAGTGATCACACTCGCGCCGCTTTGGACGCCGGTCGCCAACTCCACGACCAGGCTGCCGAGGTCGCCGTCGAACATTCATGGCGCGCTGTTGACGCTGTCAACACCCACGCTGCGGCCGTTGATGGCCATGCCGCCGGTGTCGCCCCTATTGTCGCCAAGCAGCTGGCTGGTCACGTTGCTCCCGTGATCGCGCACGCTGCTCCTTTGGTTGCCCACTCCGCTTACGCTGCTCCGGTGGTGGCTCATGCTGCCCCCGTGGTGGCTCATGCTGCCCCCATTTCGCACAGTAATACCGTCGTTTCTCAGTCCCTCCACCAAACCCATCCCGCCCCCGTCGTGCACACTTATGGCGCTTACGCCCATGGTCTTGGTCACTGGTAAACTGACAACGTCTAGGGAAAACTTATATTTATAATCAAATGTCTTGACTGTATAAAATGAACATAAATAAACAAAGCAATAGAAACGAGGATGTGTGAATAAAAAAAATAATTTATTCAAATATACAGTTTTATTTTAGCTAGGTAATTATCGCAAATCAGCTAGCAGCATTAAATTGGACAATTTTAAAAAAAAACCACATTGTAAAAAAACCTTATCAAAATTTGTTTATACCAAGTCTAAATGACTGTTATTAAGAATGCAATTAATTTAACTGAAACCCATTCTATCATAAAAATAAGTAACATCAATAAAAATATCCTATATTATGCTTAGAGCTTACTATTAACTAAGGGCGCGTTCCCAATATGTCGTGACGACAGATAGGCGCGTAGTTTAAAGTGTCGTGGCTTGTATATTTAAATGAAGCTCAACACGATTACCTGTCGTTCACGACTTTTTTGACGTTACGATGACAGACTGTCGTGACAATGGGAAGAGCTAGATCGACAGTCATCTGACGATAAATAAAACGTTACGATAAAAATGTGACGACAGATAATCGCAGCTTCCAACGATTCTGTTGTGCAAACGACAAGGCGGCTGCCGTCAAACGATAAATTGTCATCACGATCTAATGGAAACAGCTAGACACGACGGTCGTTGAACGATAAAATAAACGTCCACGATACAGTCGTGATATGAGAATAGGCTAGACGCGAGAGTCGTCCAACGATAAATAAAACGTTATGACATTATGGGCACGCGCCCTAAGTAGTCTCAACCTGTTAACAAGGTATCGATGTTACTCACCTAAATGCAGTTCATGCAGTTCGGAATGCAGTTTAGTAATACATTTTAAAATAACCAAGTATGCACATAATCAGCTTTAATAGTGGTTTTTGTTAGTTTTTTTTGGTTAAAATCAGTTCCAGGTTCATTATTTTCAGCGTCGAGCTTTATGCTCATTACTTGTGATATACATATAGTTCAACAACCTGTCGTTGGAACCTTATAATCAAATCGTCGCCTTAAAACACAAAGTTACTGAAATGCAAAAAATGGATTGTATATACAAATTTTGCAGGCAAATTTACATCATATTCACACACTGGTTTTAACCTATTCTTAAAGTAATGCATCCAAATTAGCCCGCTTGATAAGGAATTTAAAATAAATAGTAAATTTCGCCATCTCCTGAATAATCACTCTTCATAAGATACGAGTTTGAGAAAGTAAGTAATCGAAATGTCTTTGCAGTGCGTAAATTCATGTAAACAAAATCATAGAAGCGAAAGCGTATGATTAGAAAGATAATTTATTCATGTATGTAATATTATTTAAGTCTAGGTACTTGTGCTAGTATAAAGTTAGCAATGAAAGGTAATAATGTTAGAGCAATGTTAATGCTTCAGCAACATAAAATATTTTTTATAATAGTTGGCAGCCCTAGCGGCGTCCGGCCGCCGAAGGCCCATTTGGGCGGAATCTAGTGGAATCTATCTGAATCGACTGTTCTATGCATATTGTTATTGTTTTTTACGCAAAGCACTTCCGACAAGTTATCCGAGCGGATTGGGTTTTGTTAATTGGATGGCTTTACAATTTGAGCATTCGAGTTACATACCTTTTCTAGGGTAAGAACCACACATTAAAGTATTTTAATTACGATTAAAATTTATTTGACTAGGTAGTGCCTTAATGATAAGGCTGGGTTCACGCATTAGGTTGCATTATCCGATTCCCTGATGCGGTTAACGTACTCTGGCAACTGAATGATTTAAGCCCACACAAAACGTTGCAGCGCCGCGCGATTCCACCGGTACGGTTAAAAAACCTAATTAACGTTCGGTCGTTACGTCCGGTCGTGCCGTACGGTACACAACACTCGATTGGTTTTTTAAAGACGCACACATATTATAGTAGCAGTAGAGCTCCTTGTGAAAGTGGTCGTCCAGAGAAGTACCTACTGCCTATTGCTACCGCCAAGCAGTAATGTGAGTATTAGGTACTGCGTTCCGGTTTTGAAGGGGTACTGGTGAAATTCAGACACACGGGACTTGGAGTTGGAATAATAGTATATAATAGTATTTTATGCAATCCGGAACGATTGCATAAAATACTAATGAGGGTTCTTAAAGTCGAGTATACCATGTTTAGACAGCGAGGCTTTACCGAAGTGTTTAGGACCGTATTATGTAATGATTACGTACAATACTTTTTTTACGCGTAAGTAAAATTATGAAATAGAACTAATATTTATTTAATGTACATTTTGTTCACAATCCATAACAACAAACCTTAGAGGATGGGAAGCAATAAACGCATTTAAAAAAAAACTCTATTAGAGTAAGCAAAGGTTGGAACCTTTGCCTACTCTAATATGGTGTACCATACAGGCTCTTCATATATTTAGACGAAAACGCTACAAAAAAAAACAAAGAAATAGAATAGAATAGCCAATATCCTTAGGCGCTCCTTCACCGAGAACATTCGCCTGTAATGTAACATTCATGATTCGTTTGCGAGCATTCGCCTGTGACCATTCGTTTTTGAGCATTACATCACAAACTACCTCCTTCACCGGCGAGCAAGCATTCGCCAGTAATGTAACATCCAAGATTCGATTAGGCTGCGACTCCATCAGATATATGCGAGGTAACAAGGCGTGTGTGGAAGTGCCTCTGAGAGCTCGTGAATGCCCGCGAGAGTCAGGAGAGCCCGCGAAAGGCAGCGAGTGCCTTTGAGTGCCCGCGAGTGCCTTTGAGTGGTCGCGAGAGCCAGGAGTGCCTTTATGTGCCCGCGAGTGCCTTTGACTGCCCGCGAGAGCCAGGAGTGCCTTAGAGTGTCTTTGAGTGCTCGCGAGTGCCTTTGAGTACCTTTTAGTGTCTTTGAGTGCCCGCGAGTGCCTTTGATGAGTTCCTTTAAGTGTCTTTGGGTGCTCGCGAGTGCCTTTGAGTGCCCGCGAGTACCTTTGAGTGCCTTTGAGGGTCTTTGAGTGCCTTTTAGTGCGTTTGAGTGTCTTGAGTGCCTTTGAGTGCCTTTTAGTGCCTACGAGTGCCTTTATGTGACTTTAAGAGCGTTAGAGTGCCTTTGAGTGTCTTAAGTGCCATTGAGTGTCTTTGAGTGCGTATGAGTGTCTTAAGTACCTTTGAGTGCCTTTTATTACCCGCAAGTGACTTTGAGTGCGTTTGAGTGCCTTTGAGAACGTTTGAGTGCCTTTGGAGTCTTTAGTACCTTTGAGTGCTCACGAGCGCCATTGAGTGTCTTGTATGCCGTTGAGTGCAAGCGAGTGCCTTTGATTGCCCTTGAGTGCATTTGCGTGTCTTTGAGTGTCTTGAGTGCCTTGAATGCCTTTTAGTGCCCGCGAGTGCCTTTGAGTAAAGGCTTGAATGTATTTCCACTATATCTGGTGGAGTTGCAGCCTTACAATCTGAACAGATTGTTACATTACAGGCGAATGCTCCCGGTGAAGAAGGCTACCGAATGTTACAAGTGTTGCGCAGCGAATGCTCGGCTCGTCTCCCTCGCCGCCTGTAATGCTCGTTTTTGAACGTTACAATACAAGAGCATGTTCGCGGTGAAGGAGCGCCCTTAGGGGATGGGAAAAAAGCCAATACCGCATAAATTTTAACCAATAATTTTTTATAAAGATTTATGGCCCGGTTGCAAGAGTTTTAGGCCAGTTTAACCAATCATGAGGCAGTATAGCGTTTGAGAAAAAAGAACGTCGTATTTTTGCTAATGAAAATATCAAATAAGACGCTTATTTGATATTTTGATTACCAAAAATACGACGTTCTTTTTTTGAAACTCATTACAGTTCTGTGTTTACTGAACTTTAATGGAATTTTTTTTTTTTGGAGTACCATAGGCAAAACAATTTTGATCAGAACTAAAAAGGGCGCCTTTATTTTTCATCGTCTAAGTTTATGATACGGTTTACATTTTTTCCATCATAGGGGTTTATGAAATAATAATTGACCGATTAGAGTACAGAAGTAGAGAAAGATTTTTTTAAATGCTACTAAAACAGGCACAGGATTGCCTCAATGCCACATACTCGTAGCAATATGCCTCAATATTCTCACCAATATTAAGATTAAACGTGTTACTGTTCGCAGCAGCATTATTATTTATCTGTTCATATTTATTTGCAAGTTAGTCTCTAGAGTGTCGTACTTACAACTTAGTTGTAAGAGGAGACGACAGCATCGGAACGTGTTATAAAGAGTTATTCGCTTACTAACTTTGTTGGGCAAGTTTGAGAAATACAATACGTTGGACAAAGCGGAAGTCACACAATTTTAAATACAAAGTGCAACGTTTGTAAAAAACACAATTATTTATTTGAACCTGCTAAAAATGATCACTGCAAATATAGATTAAGTGTAGAGAGGGATCTCTACACTTAATCTAAATATTTTTAGAAATAAATAACCCCTACTACAGGGATTTACTCAAATATCTTAATTAAACTCCAGACATATTTTAATTCTTTGTAAATTTGGTTGACTACAAGACAGGCCGTACTTAGTGTAGGAATCAAAAGTAACTCCTTGCGCGAATTTTCTTGATCCGTCTCGCAACACCATTATCCATCAGTGTTTTATTATTATTTAAATTGAACCTTACCTTATTGAACAGGATTCTAGCGCTGCTGCAACACGGTGGTCTTTCGTTCTTCGTTCGGTTCGCGCGCTTTTATCGTATAACCAATATTATAATCAATTAATTTTATATCTGAAATGGTTACTTAAAATACATTTAAACTATCGGTACACATTTGGATGTGGTTATTTTAGTTTTATTGATTGCAAGTCGTTATAAAAAAAAATACTTTCGTAAGTACTCAACTTATAAAATATCGCCGGAAAAGGAGTCGTCATAGCTGATATTCAACCACCATCGCTTGTAGCATAAAATGACTTTGTATTATACAAGGTGCTTGAAATCCTAAAACATCAAACACTGACATAATTATTCGTAACATAAGGCGCTTAGACGGACTTAATCAGTAACAGGTCGAAATTTAACAAGTCTTCAGCAGTACGTATAGTTGAAGAGCCCTCTTGCCTTCATCTTTGCTGGCCAAGTTTGAATTTTACAGCCACTGTTCCTAAAGTCTAACTCGGCTCACTGGTCATCACGGCTACGACAAGTAAAAAATTCGGCCAATTTGGCACCTCGAAATATCCTGTTACCTACGCGGCGCGAGGGCGACAACTTGTTCTCGACGCCAGCGATCAGAGGTTAGTAAATTTGTAATCTTTCAAAGTATAGTGTTGTGTTCAAATTTAACTACCGCGTTTGCGTTAGTTACTACTTGAATCGACACTACTTCATCCCGAATTCAATTTTTTCCTGTACTAATACGGTTCATTTTGCTTGGGTCCAGCGGAATGGACACTGGCTTTATTTTTTTACAAACGAAATTAAAGCCATTTGAAAAATGTATATCGTACAGTATATGTGTTCTATTTAGTTTGATTGATATAAGAAAAAATATTGGTACCTGTATGTAAAGTACCTTATTGAATACAACGGTTTTCTTGTAAAATTTCGAGGTAAGTTTGTATTTTCTTTCTATCGAGAAAATGTTTAGGTATCGTGTTTCCACACCGCATAGTAATCAGTGTACATCCTCAATTTTACTATATATTTTTTCCAAAGTAATCGATTCAACACTTTCACTGTTATGTGGAATCAACCAAAGCCATTTCAGATTGTATAGACTCTTAAGATTTTTATTTAGATCTTAATTATATACCTATTTATAAAGTTAAATCTTAACATTAACGCGAAAGTTAAGTTTACACATTTGAAAACTTACACTAAGCCCCAGATCGCGCGGTTTGCGGCGGTGAATTGACGTGACGAGATAGTGTACGCGCGATATCAATGCTGAGACATGATATTTTTTACTTCCTCCTCAGTACTTTGTATTTCGACATTACTACTAACATGACTATCCTAGGGGTTGGGTGCCTGGAGACCCATATTACAAGCTCTGCTTAGTTTGGGCTCCAGTCTCCCACAATACATTACTCTAAGCTTATGTAATAATGTATATTTACTATAATTGTAACGTTTCTTTGTATTGTGTTGTGGAGATAAATAAAGATATTTATTATTATTATTTTTATTTTAATCTCTCGCCTCTCCCAAGGCCTAAGAGACTAATTTTGAATTTTTAAATGGGAGAGGCGGTATTTCCCGGCTATGGCACAGTCGGCCGGGGTCAGGGACTCAGGTCCAAGAATCGGCGAACAATACGTGCCGTATCGAGCAGGACCGCCTTCTGCATTTGTGCTGGAAGCGACACGCCACAGAAATCCAACCGCCTCAAGCTGTTAGAAAGGCTGACTGGAATTAACCCATTTGCGGACAAAACAATTGGGATTATTTCAGTGGAGGCCACATCCCACATGTCGGTGATCTCGTGCGCCAGGTCGAGATACTTCCGGCGTTTCTCGGTGTCAGCTTTCACGAGACCCTCGTCATGCGGGATGGTCACGTCCACAAGAAATACCCTCTATTATTATTATTATTATCTTTCATAAAGTAATTCTTTTATTAAAAATACAAGTTATTATGGGCAAAAGAAGACTTGAACCCGTAATACAAACAAAGAAAACAAAAAGGCGAGTTTCACCGAAATTACGAAGACCAAAGGCAAAATCCGAATAAGTTCTATAATTACGCTAGAATGACTGTGGAGACGTTTGACTATTATTCAAGAAAATATCAAGAATTGGAATCCGACTTTAATTATGAACGAATAGTATCTCTATTCTTCTCTTGTAGGTTTTATAGCTCAGTTGTTTAGTTGCTTGCGTAGGTTAGAGTACTTATTTAATGAACGATCCACGATCGAGAAGCGGTTGCAGCAGCAGTGGGGCATTTAGGCTTTAGGCGGCACTTGTAAGTAAATAATAGGGGTTAAAGTATGAAATTGCCGATTTGTACTGAAAATCTAAATTGTTTATTTTTTAAATTTTTAACAAATTTATTTAATCAAAATAGTTGCCATTATTATCTATACATTGCTGCCATCTAATGGGAAGGTTATTAATACCTTTGCGATAGAACTCCGACGATCTAGACTGCACAAACTGTGTGAAAGCATTTTGTACTGCCTCCTGGGAAGAAAACTTCTTGTCACGTAGATAATTGTCCAAATCACGAAAAAAATGGTAGTCCGTTGGAGCAAGGTCTGGTGAATACGGAGGATGACGAATGGTTTCTAACTGCAGTTCCTGAAGGGTCAAAATGGTTTCTCGTGCTGTGTGAGGTCTCGCGTTGTCGTGGAGCAATAATGGTGAAGATCGATTCATGAGTCGGGGCTGTTTTACTGCTAGTTTTGTCAACATGGTTCGGAGTTCGGCACAATAGACATCTGCCGTTATTGCTTGACCAGATCGGAGAAAACTATAGTGAATAACACCATGCTGAGACCACCAAACAGTTGCCATTACCTTTTTATTGGTAAGTTTTGCTTTAGGACACTGTTGTGGCATTTGACATGGGGTCAGCCATTGCATTTTTCTTTTCCGGTTATCATAAAGAATCCACTTTTCATCACATGTTACAATTCGATCCAATATTCCTTCATTTCTGTACCGGTTCAACAAGGCAACACAAGTTTCAACACGCGTTTCTTTCTGCAGATCAGTCAAATCATGAGGCACCCATTTTTCGTATTTTTTTATTTTATTGATTTGACGCAAGTGAGTCAATATTGTGGGTAAGGTAACGTTAAACCATGCCGCTAATTCCTGGGTAGTTTGACTAGGATCGGCTTCCACTATCTCTCTTAATTCATCGTTATTCACCTGTGTGGGCGGTCTTCCTCGTGGCTCGTTCTTTAAGTCGAAATTTCCATCACGAAAGCGTTTAAACCAAAATCGCACGGTGCGTTCATTAGTAGACCCCTCTCCAAACGCAGCATTGATATTGCGGGCTGTTTCTGCCGCGTTAGTTCCGCGTCGGAACTCGTATTCAAAAATCACTCGAATTTTCGCAGTATCCATCTTTCTTGTCTAAATTGAATAACAAAAACAATTGAAAGTCGATATTCAAATGTTTCAAATTTAAAAAAAAAAATCACAGAAACCATTTGAAAAAAGTTTCATTCGAAAACCTCAAACCATGAAAATTCTATGAAAATTCAAAGAACCTATTGCAATAAAACGGCAATTTCATACTTTAACCCCTAATACATTGACATTTGCACTCCAACCTAGAGACGTATAGCGCACATCTCATCAAATTACCTATTTAGGATTTTAAGGGTGGTCAGTAAATGATAATTATATTATCTTCTTGTATCTACCAAGCAACGTTTGTTTTTTATACTAGCGAGGGGCGGAAAGTGGCCATTCTCGATACTTTTTTATTCTTTATTTCGGTAAAAGGTTTACATGGTAAGGCTAAGAAAAGTTGTAATACAAAGCCTAGATCAGACATTAGGTATAATATGAATGTTATTGGAATTGCTTTGCTAATGTTAATAGGCTGACAATAACTATACTTACCAGAATGACTATACTTTATAAGATAGTACACTAGCAGGAGCACGAGGATATATTTATCCTTTTGGTCCTACCAATAGAATAGAATACATCCACGTGCTCCCACTGGCAGCACCCAGTACTTGTGATTTATAGCGATTTTAAACTTGATCAATACACAATAAAATATTGTTTTATTTGAAATTAGTTCTGCAGAATATTGTTGCTATGTAGTAAGGATATATTATATGCAAAAATAAAACAGCAAATTATACAAAATGGAGTTTATTTTCCTTTATCGCTTCGTTATTTCCTATGTTTTCTATAGTTTGGTGATCGATCTCTATCTCGTTTCTTTTTCTTCCCTTTGCGTTTCTTATCTATATCTCTTTTTCCTTCTGGAGTTTTACTCCTGCGCATTTTTTCTCTTATGTTATCTTCAAAATCACTACTACTATGTTTTTTCTTCTTATGTTTCTTCTTTTTCTCATAGTCAGAAAGAGAACTTAACGAGTCACTACTGCTATATCTTTTTTTATCCTTTTTCTTGCGTTTTCTATCTACACTACTACTTGAAGAATCTCTTCTACTCTTTTCCATACTTCTTCCATTCGGAGAATCTTGATAATCTCTGGCATGATTTTCTCTCTTATCCTTTCTAAAGTCTTGGCTGTCATATTTGTGACTCGATGAAGCTTCCCTGTCACTCATATTTGGAGAATCATGTTTGGACGTTTGAGATTTGTCATCGCGCTTGTATTGTTCGTACAAGTCAGCATCTAAAACAAATAAATGAAAAAAATATATATACTTGAGTAGAAGTAGAGCTCCTTGTAAAAGAGTTCGTCCAGGGTAGTAATGCCACCTTATCTATTTCTGCCGCCAAGTAGTAATGTCAGCATTACTGTGTTCTGGTTTAGAAGGGTAAAAGGGTGCTGGTGAAATTACAGGCACATGGGACTTGTCAACTTATGTCTCAGGGTGACGGGCGCAGTGGTAGTACCTCTCAGATCTTTGCAAGTTAAAGCTCTGAGTGGCACTGTAACTGTAATGGACAGGCGTGTTGCTTTCCATCAGGCGCACGACTTATTCGTCCCGTCGCTTGATGTTATAAAAAAAATATTATTTATTATTTATATAAAATAAAAATAAACGTAATTACTCTGGTACGACGGTAAAGCCTTGAACACCTTTTCCAGTCTACTTCGGCCGAAATATACAATCGGACGTAGTTATAATAAAAAGATCCAAGTCACAATTGGTAAGTTACAAGAAAATGGAAGTTAGTTTAAAATTTTAACTGCTGCTGAGAATTTTCAACTGATCTTCATTTTTTTCGTCAAATTAAAGTTTTCACTATATAGTTTCACATCAATTACCAAACATTTCGTAAATTAATGATTAAGGTAGATTTTTTTTTAAATAGGATTTGAATCATTTTAATTTTGTATGGAAAAAACTTTTGCGATTATTTTTCATTTTGCAAAAATGCTTCAAAATGTGCAAAAAGTGTATACTAATTGTTTTATTGTAATTAAATTAATATAATCGCATTTTTAAGAATTTTAAGAAATCTCGGTTAATTGTCATATGTTTTGAACTAAAATAACACTACATTCCAACATAACTATCATTTTCTACAGTAATAAAAATTGCACACTTAACCCAGATTTTTCGCGAAACAATGCAATTGTTTGACATTATTCGGATGCATTAAAATATATTTAAAAATTATTTTCCTTTATTTTTTTCTCAATAAATCGAAGACTATTTGTTTTTAAGAATTATTTTGTTAAAAAAAACTTGACTCACTTATTTATCCCTAAGTCTCTAAGTAAGAGATTTTCCGACATTCGCCGCCGCAAGTAATGTTTTTTTGAACTTTTTTAAATTCTTGTCTATGTTTTATTAATTTGGGTTTTAATGATAAGCTATTGTTAAATTATTAATACAACTTCAGCCACATCAACCAGAATCCTTATTTTAGAACACTTTTCGATTATACCCTTATATGATACCCTTTCTTACAGTTCCCAAGAACTCTGATTTCATTTGCATTACTTTTAATAGGTTTGCTTTTGTACACGTCTTCATAATATCCATAATTCCTCGATTATGTAAAGACGTCGGACGTATTTCAAGGCTACTTCAATTTTTCAAAAATCGTATCATTGGGCAAAAATTTATGCCCAGGTACCAAATAGCGACAGCGAATCGTTTTTAAGGTCGGTGTCCAGAGCCACTTTTAACATCAATACCAATTTAATGTTCCTATTTTGACCTCCTCGTGAGTCACTCCATAATATAAGGTCTTCGATGCCCACCGCCAATTCGTTATTAAACTGCCATAATAGACACGAGCCAACTTCCTGTGCTTCTCTACCTGCTTCACCTTCTACTCATACATACAATAACTTGTGTCATTAGAAGCCATGTGAATATTGGAAAATGGCGAGAAGAAGTCGACTGCGATAAATATGTCGCGGGGAGGTTTATTATTATCGCATACGATATACCACCATGCTACGCATAATGTCATTGAGGTTAGCCTCAGTTATCGCCTGGCCATAGTGGCGTTAAACTATTCATTGTTATGTTAATATGAGGAACGACCGCTCCCTCTCGCTTACCTCTCATTGTTTTCTGTATGATAAGTACCTAATAATTTTCCTCAAAATTTGTTCTCATATAAATCAAATATTTTTCATCTTTTTACAGGAAACTTTTTTATAGTAAAAACAGGTTTTTGTTTATTATTTCTGTTTAATTTCGTTTATGGCGCTCAAATTTTACGTTGACAAAATTACCGTGCAGAGCAGTCAAAATATTTTAAACTCAGATATGATCTTGCTATAGCCCTATTTGGCATTGCGATATACTTTACTGGCCATTGGTCGCGGCACAGGCGGCACATGTGTAAAGAAAACATGTGCACGCGGTGCGTCAAAAATGTGACGTCACATTGATGATGTCGAGACGTTCTATGAAAAGTTGGAAGGTGACTTTTACAATTTGGAAGGTGACTTTTAAAATTTGGAAGGCGGCTTTTAAAATTTGAAAGGCTATTTTGAAATCCTACATTTTTTAAGTAACCAACGTTTAGTAAGAATGATGCAAAGTCGAATGGATAGTTTGACTTTGCCGTAAAGAACAGCCAATATGATTCAAGTAATTATGTTAAACGTAAGTGGAACATTCTGTCCCTATTAAAAAAATAATCAAAACAATCCAAAATACTTTGGATCCTATTGTTTCAATATTTTAAAAAGCCAACACTATTATATTTGAGTGTGTGCGTTATTTACTATACAAGTTACTTTGGTGCATTCTTGTTAAAAAAGAAACAATAAAAACAAAATGATTCAAGTTCATTTGAATTTTATTGGCCATCATATTTCATAGTTTAGTATTTATAAGAACGTCAGTGGTTAGTGTAGACGAGACTCTAGAAAGTGACGTAGTTAGTGCAGTGTGCAATCCTGCATATGACTTTAATAAAAAATGAGGGTAGATTCTCGCCGACGCCGCCTGCGTCCGCTGCCGTACTGAGTGATCGGGCTGCCAGGGCTTTGGCGCGCAGTTTCCGTCGAGTCACCGCCGCGGAATCTCATGATTAAGGACCACGAATTGGTTCGAAACATGTCGAGCAAAAATTCGACTTAAATACGTGAGTTATCCGCTATTTTTAGTTAAGAAGAATGGTAGATCATTAATATAAATGAGAAATAAGAACGGTCCAAGTATTGAGCCCCACGGAACACCCATTTTTACCGGAGAACCCAACGGGACAGCGACTCCTCCGACGTTTACCATCAATCCGTCCGTTAACCATTAGCTATTCCAGGTCGTGCCGTTCTTTCCTGGCAATGTGACCAAAGAAATAAAGTATCTTATGGAGACATAAGGTGGATAGTCTAGTCTGCACGTTAAGCTTCCGGAAAATTGAGTCGTTGGTGGGAAAATCAGTCCAACGGATACGCAACATTTTCCTCCAGCACCACATCTCAAAAGCGTCATTGCGGTCACGTTCTGCCTGTCTTTAAGTGTCCACGTTTCCGCCCCATAGTTGAAAATGGAACAGAGTAGACAGTTGAGCTTAAATCGTCGCACATGCTCGTAACGGAGGAGAGGCCATTGGTGGATAATACAAGGGGTACAATACTTACTTATGACTTTGGATTCCTTATCATACTCGGACTTGGTGACTGCTTGCATCATGAACTCGCTTAAATTAACTGTTTCTTTTTTAATTGGAATATCTACCATCACTCGGCCGTTGTCTTCGTCCAGACTTATTACCTGAAAATAAACATAAGTTGACATGATTTTTAATTTACTAACAAACAGCAAACGTAACACCATCGCTTAATTCCCTTTGTTACTATATCATTATAGTAATAAAACTGCCAAAGTAAAATAATAAATAAATAGTACATTGTACAACAAGTGCATAACGCGTCACCCGAGACGAGTATATCCACTCGATACTTAAGTCGAAGTTAAAAGGGGTTTTATGAACGAATTTATACACTCTGCTTTTCACTTCGATTGCGAGGAAATTAAACAGCAATATTACAAATAAACGACAATTTAATTAAAATTGAATGTAAAATTACATCAATTAGACATATTTCAAGTGATGGTTTTTCCTGTATATTCAGTGTATTACTTTGTATTTTATTATGAACTTAAGATGCCTCCAAAGTTACGGGATTTTCTTGTACCTTATTTTATAAAGTTCTAGTGTGCGTTGCTGTTGGCGCAAGTGCCATTGCCTCGGTCTCAAACGACGATTTTGTTTTATGCACTAGAGCATAAAATCCTACTTTATGCAGCCTACACCCAACGTAAATACGAAATGAGAAGTGAAAATATTGTTTATAAATTGAGAAATGGTTATATTCATGGGTAACAGTAATAGCGCAGTCTACGCTTACCAAAATAAAATTATTATTTACCACTAATCAGACGAGTAAGAAATTGTCAACAGTCACATTTATGACAAAGTCATGATACCAAATAAAGTAAATTAATAAAACCATGATCCTATACAACAGAAATTAAATATTTTTTTACTTCCATGAAAACAACTCATTGCATTAATGCTTACAAATTGATTGCACTGTGTTTCTAATGGGATAGTAAGTGATAATAATCTGTGTTTTATGTGACCCTGTAGTCACCCTGTATAAAGTGTATGGGGCATGATGAAAAAAATTCAAATTACCCTAATATCATAGTGTTACACATTCTAAATTACTGATATAGAACATGTTAAAAATAGGAAAAACGCCATATTTACACTTCTGTAACTTTTTAAGTATAACAGAGGCAAAATGTACTACATAAATATTACAAATGTTATGCTCTCTTTTTGTTTCCTCCACATTTTTTATGTAAAATTCACCATTTACGAAATATTTATAAAAAATATATATAATTGGCATTAAATCTTAACAACATATTAAAAAACCAGAAGTAGAGGACCTTCTACAACAAAAATCAAATAAAAGGCAAAAGGGGAGAGCTAGCCTGGGCTAGGAAAACCTATAAATTATTTCTACCAAGTAAAAGAAGACGCAATCGTCGCGTCGTTTTAGCTAGTTGCTAAGGCGTTGTACTCGACAAAATGGTGTTCACCACACCCAGGAAAACCTACCTCTTAAATGAAAAAAGAAGACGTAATGACATTTTGTTATGGCTTGATAATTATTATGAAATTTTACCTTTCCATAGCAGCCACTGTATTTTCCTATAGTGATTTTCACAAATGAATTTTTGACGATACTTAGTTCCTCTTCTTTGTCATTGCCAGACTTCTTTTGATTCTCCTTGATCACTTTATCTGCTCCCAACCCTAGACCTTTTGGCCGAAGCGCCGGCTGCTTGTACTTTGATCTGATTAAAGAAAAAACAAATAATTAAATAATCTCAGTACAAAGTACTAAAAAAACCGACCTCAAAAATTCGTGGAATTACATCTATTTGCCAAGTTTTATTGAAATCGGTTACCGGAAAGTGCGCATAATCAGATTCATCCCCTAGTGTGCCACCCTTAGAGGTGGAATATTTTCTTCAAATTTAAACGGGACCAATACTGAGGTACCCTCTTTCCAACAAAAAAAAAATCATTAAAATCGGTTCACAAAGAGTCATCGCGTAACATACATATACAAAAAAAAACAGTCAAATTGACAACTTGTTCCTTTTTTGAAGGCGGTTAAAAACAATAAATAGGTTCAGGCGTTACTTTGCATAAATCCACGGTAAAAAAAAAATAAACTAAACCAATTTGCTACACAGATAACCCAGTGAAGGTTAAGTCGTGCAAAATAACTGTGCTTGATTGAAATATTTTTTTCATGCAGTTAATTTTCCCAATTAATAAAATAAATAACACAACCGCAACTACAATTACTGACGTCACTACCAAAACTGCCCTATGCTTAAAAAAACTTGCTCTTTGTAGTAAACCTACATCCTGTTTCACCTATTCTTTAATGTGTCACAGATGTGCTTATAAACTCCCAAAACCCAATGACATAAGTATTGCTTTTAGGACAAATAATACTTGGCGCCTTTGCAATGGCAAGGAAAATGTGGAAAGAAGTCTTTAATAAAAAAAAACACATTTCATAATAAAAAAATTTATACATGAAGTTTTTCATGCCACATAAACTTTCATGTTACTTAAAATTCCCACTGATGTTAGTTGCCAAATAGTAACTTTTGTCTACCTAACCTACCAGTAGTTAGTACTGGTTTCCAGGGACATGATAAACACACTATGGTTAGTAAACATTTTCTACAAGTTTTTGGTTAAATGGTTCAAACACACACGAGACATCTATCTTATATTCCTACTGCTGGAATAGGGTTGTTATGTTGCAAACAGAAAAAAAAGCCTAGTTGCATTATATGCTGTAATTACCTTGGCACATCAAGCATTGCAATCACTTCTCCTGTTTAACCCTTTCATGAAAAGTACCTAAAGTACTGCACACAAAAATTAGTTTACTTCCAATGTATGTAAATCATCCGGATTTTGTCAGTATGTTGTTGATACTTCTCTACGGAACAGCAGAACGCAGCAACTACACGGTCACTTAGAAATCGCACTGTAAAGCCCGTAGTTGAGATCCATATAGTGAAACAGGATACCCCATGCTATCATCATATTCTAATGTATATTTACGGTAAACGCTATTACTGTCCATTAATGGGTTATGAGGGTTTATTTAATATATTATTAGTGTCGCAGCACTATGATGATGTGATACGTCTTAGTTAGAAATCTTGGTTAGGATACGATGACATAATAATATGTAGTCAGCATTGTTTAAAAAGTAATAACAATTATGTGAAATACTTACTGGTCTTTACTAGGGTTCCATCCCATGCCACGGAGCATGGCCAAACCAAAGTCCTGAATAGGAATTGATTCATAATCATCCAGAGTTGACTGAAATGTTATAAACATAGTGTTATTTGCCTTTCGGCGGTTTAGGATCACAATGAGAAATGATACAAATTCAAATAACCACTTCTACAAATCATTGTAGAAGTGGTTACAAATTATTGTAGAAGTGGTTATCTGAATTTGTGGTCATCCACTTCTTGAATTTACCATTTCTTTAAATGCTACTTTTAGAAAAGAACACTTATTGAAATGGTCACTCCTTTAAATAGCTACTTCTTGCTTTGACCTGTTTTACAATTCAGTATGTTTCAGCTTCAGATTAGGAACGTTGCCACAAGTTTGACGCTGGACCTTTAAGTCCTCTAATGTATATTAGATATTTTGTTTATTATCGCCTTGGGGGGTAACATCTCTTCGTCCATCGCAACTAGATTTCGCAACCTTTTGACAAAAACAGGTTAATAAAAAATTTCAAACATTTCATTTTAATTTTTACTTTAGATAAATGTCTGGGCATGGAGGGTATAAATTGGCGATAGGGTCTAAAAATAGTAAAAAACCAATTTTAAATAAAAAAAATAAAATGATCATTTCAAAAAATGGTCATTCAAGAAGCGGTCAATTCAAGAAATGGTCAATTTGAGAAGTGAAGAATTTAAGAGGTGGTCCTTTTTAATTGTGGTCATTTCTCATTGTAGCCCTAAACCGCTGAAAGGGTTATTTGGTATAGTACAAAGTACAAGATAGAATCGACCTGATATTGTCGTTGCAAAGACCACAAATAATTATTGCAACAACAATATCAGAAGAATATTTACAAAAAATGTAAATATATGAAGTCATGTAAATGTGTGAAGAGTTTAAAAATTTACCTCTTTAGCATCACCAGCAGGTTTTGCAGCAACCGGAACTGTCAGAGAAGGTGTGTCAACATTCACTTCTTTCTTGGCGTCCTGGAGCAATTCTCTCACAGCCATCTGTTCTAAAGTTTCATTTTCGGGAATGTTGCTTTCTTCAGTTTTATCCTCAACTTTCACTGGCTCTTCCAGACCCAGCTCCACTTTTTCTGCTATTTCCTTAAGTCTTTCTGCTGTTATTAGTGTGTTTGCCTTCATTGGGATTACTAACGGTTTGTCATCTTGGACTGTTTCACCACTGTAATGTTTAAAGTAATTACTAGATTAAAGTGCGATTTTACTAGTTTTTGTTACCTTTTGTGGTTAGAAGTGTGAGGAATAAAGATATTTTACAAGGTTGGCCTCCTTATAAAATATACTTATGAAATATACATAAATAACAGGGGAAGCTACAGTATTGTAAGCATAGCTGGTGGAGACCTATGGACCTTCCTCATACATACAACTCGACTGATTTTATGATATATCTATTTTAGAGATTTCCTCCGTTTATAGCACCAATTTTAACAAGCGAGTGAACAATTATAATATCAGGTAAGTACATATTAAATAATATATTTAAATGGAATTAACATAAATAGGTAAAAAACACAATGCTCTGGTGGCCCACTGAGAACAATTGACAAAGGTTTAAATTGTTTGTCGCTATCAGAGAGCCACTGCTACAGCCAGTTGACAACATCATGATATAAAAGGAGGAAATCTCACAGAGATATCACAAAATCACAATTTTTAATATGATATGATTTGAAGTTTAAGTAAGTAGAAATTTTGAACTCTGATTGAAATTATTGTTTGCAGTAGTTGTTTAATATTATAAGAGGGATCAATAATTTAAGATGCCTTGATGAGGGACAGCCTGTAATTTAAGGGTCGAGATAGCCTGTAGTTTAGGTTGATTTAGGGGAGCACGAAAGGAGCCTCCCTGCACAACATACCATTCCTTTCCTGTACATCTGACCCTGGGCAACAATCGGCGAATACCTTACGTTGATTGGCAAATCCATTGACGATGGCAAGCATTATAGTGTATGCCATTGGTAGGATAAGCCTGTAATTTGGACCACTACATGAGGGACTATTGATGGTGCTTGACAATAAATTACTGTAGGGTTATGTCTACGCATAATATGGGCAAAATTTTGTGTTGGTAGGCAGCTTAATTGCTGCAGGCTTGGTACAACCAAAATATACTAGATTAAGTTTGTATTTAAAGATTGTATTGAACTAGGTCTTTGTGAAAATATATATTATAGTATATAATGACTCAAAATTAGTAACAGTAACTCGTATTAGAATACGAAATCAAAGATTGTTTGGGTTTTTAGGTAATTTTGAGGTTAAGTTTAAACAAATTGCTTACCCAACAACTTTGATGGCCTTTTCGTCAATACAATCAATGTACTCCTTCTTTTCTTCAGCCACAGGTTTCTCAGCCTTTTTTGTCTTAAAAAAACCAAAGGAAATCTTTTTTCCTTCCATGATGAAATATACGATATTCACTTTAATAATTATTGTACTAATTTCTGCCTGGTCGCTAGTCGTAGGTACAACGCATTTTATTGTTGGTTGATATTTTATGATTTTGTAACAAACAATAAGTTGTGTTCATTGATATAAATAATCGAATTGGGTAAAATAGAAAACAGGCAACAACCACAAAACACTTTATAGACTCAAAATCTGCCATTGATTGAATTCTACGATTGAATCGAATAAATAGAACGAATGAAATGAAGTAAACAAAAAATGAACGAAGAAACAACGGACATAATATAATGAATGAAATTATATAAACGCCATCTGTTCAGCTCTCGCGGCAACACTCAAAACCGAAGAACACGTTTCGTATAGTGAATGGGTCGTTTATGTTTTTAGTCACGCTTAGTAGTACTTTTACTATTTCACAACAGATGTCGGTAAAAGTCAAATTTCATTAAAAAAATATGGCTTTGACTAGCGCCATCTATCCATTCTGGACTGTATTATGGAGAAATAGGAAGGATCACAATTTACAATGATACTTTACTGTTTTTGGTTTGATAGTTAGTTTCGCTACTCACGGTAGAAATTTTGATGTCACGTGATTTGTAGGGGTGAATGTTTTGTGTTATACGTGTCGGCTGATAATCTATATTACCTACCTACCGTGCCACAGTAATTATAATAAAATGTGTTGAACTTTTAATAATAAGTACTTACCATGGACCAATGACTCAAGAAGACTGCTATTCTCCATACTACAGATCAACACTCTGACGAAGGTCAAAATTCCGTTTTACGTCTAGATGGCGCTAATCGATAGCCTGGAAGTAGTTTATATTGTGTGAATGGCAGTGGATATCAATTAATTCATCTTTAATATCAAATATAAGTAGTCAGATTCTTCCTTGTATTTTTTTAAATATTATTCAAATATATACAATGAGAGATACAAACTAATTTATAAATTAACGACTGCTAATATGGGTAGATTTAGCTAATCCTAAACAAAATAAAAGATAAAAGTCTGTGCAATAAGCGCCATCTAGTTGATTTGTTTATTATCACTAGAAATAGTAGCGTTTGATAAACCGCAGCTAGTCATTATTACAAATATCAAAATATTTGGTACTTGTCGTATCAATAGGTACTAATACTACCTTTTAATAAGTATCTTACGTAGGATATGGAACAACGAAAAAACCTTTTTTGTTTTCTTTTTCTTCCTTCTTTCAATCTTCCAATCCTATTTAAAAAGACTAGATTGATACTACTTGATAAATAATTTATCAATAGACAATAAGTACATGACGTTAGGCATAGAAAGATACTTCCGTTAGATACATACTGTGTGTAGGTATGAGAAATTGCCATTTGATTGATTTACAAGAATAAACAAACTGTTTTTTTAAGAAGAAACTCCTATTTATTGTTTTAACGCATTATGCCAGAAAAGCAAAATGCCATACGGGCGATCTTTTGTCCTTTGTCAATATCAAAATTGTCAACGACATGGGCTTTAAATAATATTAATTATGTCAATTTTTTCCCGGGAATAACAGAAAGTAGGCCAAATTACTTTTATGCAAGTATTTAATCTGCGTATTTTATAGAATCGTAATGTCGTATAAATAAATAAATCATTAAAATTTGACGACCTCTATAGCCCAACGGCTTGCGCAATGGACGCTGGATAAGGAGGGACCGGGTTCGATTCCCGGTAGGACCAATTTGGGAAATGATCTTTTCTAAATAAGATTTGGTTTGGGTAATTCCGTTGCTCTTGTATGCAGAGTACAGATGGAGTGATTGTCTGAGAAAAAAAAGTTTTACTTATTAAAGATTTACGTATAATTTCTTCAATGCGTTAACCTACCTTTAGGGATTTACATTTTTAGTGGAAAATACTTCCTTTATTTTTTTTCCATCCACTGAAAGAAAATAGACAATTAAGGCGTCTTTTTAAGGCGTTTTTTTTGTGCATTGAGAAAACTAATTGGAGTATGTGAGTCATATGCAACATCCCATGGCTTGTTATATAATGTTAAAAAGTCGGAGCTTACGATCTTTGGAGCCGCCGGTAGGAAGAGTCCTACGTGTGCACTCCCTGTACTACTTAATGGTTCTCCGTTAAAAAGGGTTAGCCACTTTAAATGCTTGGGACACTATGTTACCAACGACCTCAAGGATGACCTGGATATACAGCGCGAACGAAGAGCACTCTCGGTGAGAGTAAACATGCTTGCCCGCAGGTTCGCCAGATGTACGGCTGCAGTTAAGATAACATTGTTTAAAGCTTACTGCACACCAATGTACGCTAGCGCTCTGTGGAAGAGCTACACTCAGTGCTCTCGGAATGCTCTGTGTGTGCAATACAACCACGCCTTCAGGACGCTGTTGGGGCTGTCACGTTTCTGTAATGCCTCAGCCATGTTCACTGACGCGCGCGTAGATAGTTTCACGGGTGTTGACATAAAAAGTCGGCGTCGCTACTGAAGAGAATACGTGACAGCCCCAAAAGCCTCCTGAAGACAGTTGCTGACAGGAATAAGTGCCCAATTATGCGGCACTTAATAAATAATACAAAGTCCCTGGTAAAATTTATGTACTAATATGGTTTTAAGTCTGTACCTACTAACATTTGATTGGATCTCAGTTGTCTCAATAAATAAATTTTGTTATTATTATTATTATTGTTATTATTATTATTATTTAAATTCTGAAGCTATGGAACACGAAATGTTGACATGGTTTTTTAAACTAAAGAAAATTTCTGAACGGTTTCTGAAGTCAGAGTCCGGTCTCACAGTATATTTTACATTACCATTTGCAAGCAAGATCTGATGAAATAACTCACAAACTGCAATATTTAACATTTTTGAGTCATCGCACGTGAAAATTAAACTACGTATTATGAAATTTTCAACTCAAAACACCTGGTATGCCCATTTCGTCAGGACGTAGATAAATTGCCTTTGTATCGTTTTGTTTATGCCCCTGTTTCCATTTTTCGCCGGGAAAGGAGCGTAAATAAAGACATCATTGTTGTAGAATGTTCTAGTGGCGACTGTTTTGTTGTGATTTGATTAAAAAATCAGGGAAAAAATTGACTACTTCGTAATTTTTTTTTGCGTTGTCTGAATTTTAAATAATTTGTTAGTAAAAAGTAATTACAGTTGTTTCGAAAGGTTAAGAAGCCTGACCTAAGTCCAAGGATTACCTACCGAATTTTCATTGTAATGACTTGCTTAACCAGTGCCTCTACCATGAGTTTACTATGAAAGTTGTCGCTAGCTACCGCGTAAATTACTTCACAATTTAGTATAACCATGGAGTATCAATTCATACAAATGAACTTTAGTACATATATAAAAGTATAGATGGCGACACTTGGATAAAATAAAGAAAAATAACGTTATTGAATCTTGAAAAATTGAGGTAAGTCACATTAGTTAAATATCGCAATACAAAGGAAGCCGCCGACTCCACACTTCTACAGAAGGAAGAAACAGCAAATGCATCGATCACGAGGCGAGGTCAGCGCACGTGTCCCGCTTTACCGGAATAGTGTAATTTTTAAGTCGGACACCTTTTGTTTCAAACATCGAACGATTGTCACCTATCTTTAGCAATTAATTTTGTAATTTTAATTCTTTTAAATTAAATTAGTCGTAAAAGTTTTTGGTTTTTTTTCGAACCTACGGCTGCAGTTATCTTAATTGGCGCAATCGGTAGGATTCTCGCGGGTCGGTTCGCGATTGGGCATCAAACTCTGCAATATCACGTTCGCGACTTTCCCGGGTAGCTATCAAGCACCGCTGCCGAGCTTGCCGGGTAGCTATAAAGCTTTACCCCACGCAAGTCATGGTCATTTTAAATCCCATGAAATGCATATGAATGTATGTGCACCCTACACAGGTGACTCATATTACGACGGCTACTCTACAGACCCGGAATGTTATTACAACACAGGCTACGCCGACTATGAAGATAGTGTTACGGGCTTTGCTGAGTATGAAAATAGTATCGAGTACGATAACTCCGAGCAATTCCCAAAACCGATTGAGTACCAGCCGACTGATGAAGTTCAAGTTCAACCTGGCACTAGTATAGATTCAAATTTTCAATTAGTTCCGAAATTACAAAAGCCAAAATAGAATTAAATTTGCAATCACAAAGACAGTTACCATACATACAAATTGCAAACCCCCCTCTTAAAATTTTAATAGATACCGGTGCTAACCAGTCGTTTATTAGTCCCGAAGCAGTAGAACATTATTTCACTCAATTCCCTATCAACTATGACCCATTCGAATTTACTAATGTGCATGCTATAAGTAAGAATGATTACTCAATAACTTTACCCTGCTTTTCAGAATTTAATGACAAAGACGACATAAAATTGTTCATTTACCGATTTCATGATTACTTTGACGGGCTGATAGGTCTGGACTTACTGACAAAATGGGAGACCAAAATTGATCTTAAAAGTAAACTCTTACTAACGCAATCCTCTAGTAACCCCATCCGTATGTATAACTCTTGTAATGTGAACTACTACGAAGAAATTATTTCGGCCAGTACATCAAAAATAATTAGAGTCCCTATTGATGCCTCCGACGGCGAAGTTTTAGTAAAAGAACAAATTATTCGTAATTGCATGATCCATGAGTATTTAACGTTAGTTAAGAACAAGAGAGGCCACTTAGAAGTTGAAAATACATAGCTCCCCGAATGACGTAATATTCTCACTTGACCGACCAGCGCGGGCTTTTTAATATTGAGTGCATGCGTACCGAACAGACCTCAGATCGCGCACAAGATGTTATATCTCGACTACGGACTGACCATTTAAATGACGTGGAGAAAGGTAATTTGACATTACTTTGTTCTCGTTATTCCGACGTGTTTTATATAGAAGGTGAACCTCTGACTTTTACCAATAAGATTAAACATCGTATTAGGACAACTGACGAACAACCTATCTACACAAAGAGCTACCGCTACCCTTTCATCCATAGGCAAGAAGTTAGAGACCAGATAACTAAGATGCTACAACAAGGTATTATACGACCCTCCGACTCTGCTTGGAGCTCTCCCATCTGGGTAGTACCCAAGAAGGCAGATGCTTCTGGTAAGCAGAAGTGGCGCCTTGTAGTCGATTTT